TTTATTTATTTATTTATTTATTTATTTATTTATTTATTTATTTATTTATGCTATAAAGTGGTATTCTTGCATCAATTCATCTTTGGAAATGTCTCAACAGCTGCAGGAGGGAGGGGGCGATATATTGAGAGCCTGAGAATTTGATCTTCTTGCTTAATCATCCTGTTAGTGATTCCACTGAAATCTCCATGAGGTGTAAACTAACCCTCTTGACCTGTCCTAAAATTAGTTAAGTTTGTTTTTCTGTTTTGTTTTTTTTTAAAAATACTTTTGTACAAAATATGATAGTCTTTCTGATCATGGACAAAGAGGAAGGTTGAGGTGCAAATAAGTTTGATTCAGAGTGTTTCCCTGTGGATTACAAGTGTAAAAGATAAGACTGTAGGAAAGTGCATTGATCCAAACAGTATGCCTGTAGAGAATTTTCTCATGTTTTTGTATACAGCTTTTCATTATGTTGCTTGGGATATTTTTATTTAAGGTTGCTTTTTTTTTTTTAATTCCAGGTGACAACGCATGCCGTATTAATAATGGAGGCTGCAGTACCCTGTGTTTAGCGATACCTGGAGGCAGAATGTGTGCTTGTGCTGATAATCATCATTTGGAGGAAAACAGTACAACCTGCATGTGTATGATCTTCATGAGAAAATTTTGTATTCCACCTGTAGGAAAAATAGTCAGAGTAATAACTATACAGTATAAAAAGAGCAGGATTCACGAACATCAAGCAGATAAGAAGCCCAGCATTTTGCATTAAGCAGCTTTCATTCTCTCGGGAATTCATGTGATGTAAAGGAAATTCTTCTGAGAAATGTAATAGAAATTCAGAATGACAATTGCTTAATTACTTATTTCTCATCTGTGAGAAAGACACATGTGTATAAAACTTTTTTTTACAAAGAATCTTTTTTCACGGAAGGCTGAAAAAGCTTTCTTACTCTGCTTATAACATCACCCACAATCCTTCTGCTCACCTCCAGCATTTTTCCACTCATAAGGAGAAGGTAAAAAGGATTGACATAGAGATGCAACTGGAGTACCAGCCAGAGTTGTGTAAAGACATCCTGGACATTGCTTCTATCTTCCCATTAAGTAATAGCAATTAAACTAGGAGACTCCCCAAGTTGTGAACCCCTTGCTTTAAGCCAAATGCAGAAAGGCACAACAGAAGCACAAAACTGTGATGGGTGAACCCCACCTTACTACTGTATCTAGTATTTAATGAAGATTAAATTACCTCAATTGTAATTTAAGTTAGATAATTTGACCTAAAAAAGTGAAAAACAGTATTTTTTTCATTTCCCTTTCCCTTCCCTTCCTTTGCCTTTCCTTTCCTTTGGAAAGCTAAAGTTGCCAGTGTGTCCTCCAGAGCTGGACTTACTTAAACAGGATTAATTATGAGAGGATCAGGCTAGAAAGTGAAATATAGTGAGTTCTTACTCCTTCCTCAAAGTCAAAGTCATTTTGGGCAAGTTAATCTCCAGCTCTAGGAAGGAAGCAATAACAAGCCAAACTGTAGGAATCTGTTCGGGCAGCTGCCTGGAGTGAAAAATAAGTTGAAGGAATCCTGTTTCCCTTTCTCCTTTCCTTATTTTTACACAGTAGTGTGGCCTTATTGAGACTGTTTTTCTATTGGCTTATAAGTATGTTATGAAGAAAATAAGATAATAATATCTAAAAGTTGACACACTCATTATTTAATTGATGCTTGCTAGCTCCTTTTTGTGGTGTACGTTTTTCAGTTATCATTAGCTGGACTCAGTGAGATCCAAAAATAGTTTTTTAGATATGATTTTTAAAAGTGTCTTAAGGATTTTCTTCCTATGTATTTTTAAATAGATAGTTGAAGTGTCCTCCCTTCACTTTGGATGCAATTTTACGGGCATCCAGCTAGTAAATGCTCAGTTCCATCCAATCTCATTGACTCTACCCCAAATTAAGGGACTACAGCAGGGGTTTCAAGCCCATGGGTTGGATGCATCACGCGTAAGCTACACACCCCAGTTCCACAAAGGGAAAAATACATCATGATATGTCATGTGACGGCAACATGACAGCGCGAGTTTGACACCCAGGGATTACAGGGTCATAAAAAGGGAATTTATTTGGGACACAATCTTCCCAATATCTTAAAAGTTCCATGAAATTTGTGCAAATGTAAAATAAATAATAGACATATATATAATTTTAGCCTTTTTGATTTTATGTTCAGCTGACCTATACAGCTAAACATAAATTGACCTAATTGTCTATCCAATACTAACAAATCCTTATTTTATACATAATGTGAAGTCACTGCTGCCAGTTCTTTTGCTGGTATTGGTCTTCATATACATCACATTTATTCCAAGAACCTGGGATATCATAACGTACTAGCATAAATACTTCTAAAAATCCTGTAGAAAATAATAATAAGCCATGTTTATACATATTATTGTCCACAAAACTAAAGTGATGTGTTTGTGTACTTACCAGAAGAGCTCAACATGAGAGCATCTTTACTTTTATCATATGTGTTAGTTATTGGATGAATCAGTATGTATCTAAGATCAGCAAAGTTTGTGATGTATGTAAAATGACACAAATGGTAACATTATTGAAGGAAAAAGTATTCCCTTTAATATCTTAGTAATGCAAATACAGATTTGTTTGCTAACATGAACAAATTTAATGATATGTTCCCCCCTAAACTACTTTAAATCCAAACTAAATTGAAGATGAAATAACAGATATATGTTTTAGTCAAAATATCTATTTTTAACTTGAGGAACATCTATCTTGTTCTACAGCGTACAAGTAATTATAGTATTAATATTTCCCAAGTTCTTGCAGATAGATTGATCCAATTTATATGGCTGACATCTGCCTTAAAAAAAAAACCTTCTGGTGACCATCAGTGAATGTTTCATTAAAACCAAACAAAAACAAGCAAACTGAGGTATAATACAATGGCCACAATCACCAATCACTTATACTCACACTGGTGTGGGCATATAATATCACTAATATTCTGGTCTCAATGCAAAGGGGAAGAGCACAAATTAACAGCTCTGATAATGCTTTTGAGAGTCTCAAAGCATGTCCTGAAATATGCCTATGGAGATTCTCAGGTCATGGTTGTCCCAAAAGTGCTTTTTTCAAGAGGAAAATGGATATTTTGTTTTTCTTTGAAGATATTCCACTTCTCATCCAAGAAGCTTCTTCAACTCTGACTGGATGATGAAGAATGAAAGAATTTACACTCCTTGCAGACAACTGATCATTTCCATTCTTTTAGCGAGTTGTTAAGGCCACCTGTAGGTTTATCTATGTGATATACTGAAGTAATTCTGTGTAACCCTTTAAGAAAATAGCAATAGTTTGACAAAAGCTTAACCTCATAGGAAAATATTACCAAGTACAGGTAGTCTTTAACTTATGACCACAACTGAGCCCAAAATGTATGTTGCTAAATGAAAAGTTTGTTGAGTTTTGCCCCATTTTATGACTTTCCTTGCCACATTTGTCAAGTGAATCACTGCAGTTGTTAACTTAGTAACACGATTGTTACGTGAGTCTGGCTTCCCATTGACTTTGTAAAAGGTGATCATATGACCTGGGACACTGCAACAGTCATAAATGTGATTTAAGCATCCAAATGTAAATCACGTGACCATCGGGATACTGCCATGATCTTAGGTGTGAAAATGGTTATAAGTCACTTTTTAAAGTGTCATTGTAACTTCGTATGGTCACTAAACAAACTGTTGTAAGTCGAAGACTACCTGTAAATAAACAAATAATTAAAAGCAAAACAGATAGCACTGAAAACAATTAAATAAGTCAGCTATATGTGCTTCCAGGGACCACCAAGTAGAATTATTTTGAATTTGGAATATTTACTAAGAATTGAAACATTTAAAAATCTTCATTGCAGAAAATAATAATAATAGGCTTCTATTAACAATAATGTGTCCTATTTGTATCTGTTATGTAACTTCACCCAGAACATAATAGTATCTTTGTCCCTTTAGTTAATTCTGAAGAAGTATTGCCTAAGTTATGCAAAGTGGGTGAATTTCAGTGCAGGAACAAGCGCTGCATCCAAGATGGTTGGCGATGTGATGGTGATGATGATTGCTTGGATGGCTCTGATGAGCATTCAGACATTTGTTGTAAGTATCTGTGAATAATATGAATTATAGTTCCTATTTGTTTCAGCTGCTGTAATGAGAGTTTAGATATAATATATTCAAAAAATGTAAACATCTAAAGGGAATGAAAATAAAATAAACATGAAAATAAATCATGTAATTATTGGGCGGCATAGACGCGCATTAGCTTTATATTCTACTGGAAGAGCACTGCTTCAGAACATAAATAATGCCAATGATTTAAAAACCTAATGTGTTTGCTTTGATCAAATGCCCTCTGACCTTGTTCTGTTGCTAGGCCAGATGCAAACTCTGCTTACAAATGAAGATAATCAATTTAAATATATTGATGATAGAATTACTTGCAGAAAAATGCTAAATATTTAATGCTTCTTGGTAATATTTTAAGGAGTCTGAAAAATAGACATAGGTTTGGAAAAGGATATTTTTTTACACCTTTATAACATGTTAAGGTAAACCAAAGGAAATCACAATGGAAACAATAGTATTGTGTTTTTCAGATGTTTCAGAAATGGCAATTACTTACGTAATACATGACAGCAACAGTGTGCAGCATCTTTGTTTCCATGAAGTTTTTAACTTTTTCCAACTTTTAAAAAAGTTATAATGAGACAAGTTAGTGCAGTTCCATAGTGTTATGTATCAGACCTATATCAATCTTTCCCAGAAGATCAAACATACATTTTCAGAACCCTGTTTTTCCTATCCCATGGAGGAAAAAATCTGCAAACACTTTAACACTCAAGTATTCATCTCCTTTGTCAACCCTTTCAAACTTGCATTTAAATGTTGATATTTTGTCACAGTGGTTTGAGGGTATTATGTGATTTTATTGGTTAGTTTTGTGGGAAATGTTTTTCAAAATGTTTTTAAGTTTAAATTTAATTGACATTAAATATTTTAAAATACCATCTGGCCAAATAAAATCCTAATGTTCTTACCAGGGAGCCATGCTAGGTAGATCAGCAAGTCAATATCTCATTCACTCTTAGCATGCAACTGGATGTCATCTATGTAGAGGATGGTGTCTTAGCATACAATTGGTGGTAATTCCACTCTAGAACTTTTATCCAGATCTAGTTATTGTGATTATCTGGCTGAGAAGGTTCAAGCCTATGCAGAACAGCAGTGGAAACAGTACATGACCTTGATATATGGCCCAGTTGATGGCCACTTGTGTGATCTGTCTTGGGTTGACTTCCAGTGTTGTCTTCAGTTCTTGAGGAAGATACTTAGTGATCTTGTTTATTCAATATAACACTAAACATTCACATTTCCATTTCTGCATGATTGAGCTGTAGTCAACCAGGCTATGCTGAGATGAATCTGTCTAGATTTTGAGTTTTAGGTGACTCCTCTATCTGTGAGAAACTGGTATTTTGATCTTCTGGTGTTGTCTGAATGCCTTTCTGAGCTTTGCTCATGTACTCATCCATATAGTCCTGTAACTTGATAACTATGATGTGTGATAGAACTTTACATGTGCGAGGAGGCAAATTGACTGGTAGTTGGATGGAGTTGACCCTTGTGGAGGTCTTTCAGTCTTTCAACTTTGTCCTTCCTTGTGTTAATCAGTCTGGGTGGGAGTCTGCTACTAGCAGCTGATTCATCTTTGCTGTTAGGCATCCATGCCTAAGTTTCGTTAGCCAGTAGATATAGATCCTTTCTTGGCCAAGTGATGTCCAGCACTTCCAGTTAATGAGCTTCCATTGGATGTCTGCTACTATGTTGGTGACTATGTCCTACTCTGGGAGATGTCTATGGTCTGCTCTTGGGTCTTGCAGCCATTTTGTATTGATGTTATATGCCTTATTTTTCTTCCCTATGTTCTTTCAGCATATTCAGTTTCTGCCACCGGTGGCTTTGCTGCTACTATATTATTGCACTGCAATTGGGAGTGCACCTTGATGGTTCTTTGGAGAAGCATCTGCTTCTCTGGTGTATTTCCTTAGCCTGATAGCTAATGCTGAGCCTTTTTAAGCCATCTATAGGGCTTCATTTATAGTAAGGATTGTTGTGAGGGTGCTTTTATCGTGGCTGGGGATTTTAATCAAGCCATTCTAAAGTCTGTTCTCCCTAAGTTTTTGCAGTATGTGCAGTGTACCACCAGAAGTAAGAATACTCTAGACCATATATACTCAAACTTAAGACAGGAATATAGAACAATCCCCCTCTCCCATCTGGGTATGTTTGACCACATCTCTCTGCTATTGTGCCGAAAGTATATCCCCCTTAGGAAAAGAATATGACCAGTCTTGAAAACTGTCAAAATTTGGCTGGATGGAGCACTCTGCCAGTTGCAGGACTGCTTTGAGACTACCAAGGAGTTTATTTGAACATTTGGAGCTGCAAGAATTCACTGACACTGTACTCTCATACATTAAAACATGCACAGACAATGTAACAGTGAATAAGGGCATCAGAGTTTACAGTAATCATAAACCTTGGATGTCAGCAGAGGTACAATCACTTCTGAGAGCCTGAAACTCTATCTTCAAGGCAGTAAACAAAGACAAATACAATGAAGCCAGGGCAAACTTGAGAAGAGGCATTAAGGCTGCTAAACAGAAATACAAACAAAAAGTAGAGAAGTATCTGGAAGATAATAACTCAAGACAGGTGTGGCAGGGGCTACCACACCTAACCAACTATAAGGGCAATATAAAAAAAAATAGCCAATGCTAATGCCCTCCTAGTAAGGAGCTCAATAGCTTCTTCACCCACTTTGAGGTCAAAAAATCAGTCTCTGTGGCTCTAGCCCAAAGGCTCTCTGACCTCCAACCACTCACCCTGAATGAACATCAAGTGAGAGCTGAGCTGAAGGCTGTAAATCCCAAGAAAGTTGCAGGTCCAGACGGGGTGTTGGGGAAAGTGGTAAAAACCTGTGCTGACCAATTAACACGGGGTCCTGACAAGGATTTTTAACCTCTCCCTGCAACAGGCTAGAGTCCCATCATGCTTGAAAGCAGCCACAATTATCCCAGTTCTGAAGAAAGCAGCCATAAAAAGCTTGAATGACTATAGACCCATTGCACTGATGTCTATAGTGATGAAGTGCTTTGAGAGACTGGTCCTACAAATTTGGTTCCACCAAATTTTGATCAACACCAGTTTGCTTATAGAAGCAACAAGTCAACAGGGGATGCTATCACTACTGCTCTACATATTGCACTGAACCACCTTGAGAAATCTGGAAATTATGTCAGAATGCTTTTTATAGACTATAGCTCGGCCTTTAAACACCATCTTACCAGGAATTTTCATTGAAAAGTTGACTGACCTGAATTTCCCTCTCCTCACTTGTGAATGGATCAAAGACTTCCTGATGGATCATCCACTAACAGTAAGGGTTGGTTCCTTTACATCTTCCACGCTGAAGTTCAGCACAGGCTTTCCTCAGGGCTGTGTGCTCAGCCAATACCTGTACTCACTGTATACATATGACTGCATATCCTCTGATCCATCCAACATCATAATAAAGTTTGCAGATGACACAACAGTGCTGGGTCTCATAACTGGAGGGGACGAATCAGCATACAGGGAAGAAGTCCAGAAGGTATCCGCATGGTGCTCAAGAAACAACTTACATCTAAATACTAGTAAGACAAAGGAGATGGTGCTAGATTTCCAGAAGCACAGAGAGGAACCTGCCCCATTGTATATCGAGGGGAGCTGTGTGGAGAGGGTTTCCTCTTTTAAATTATTGGGAGTGCTTATTTGTCAAGACCACACTTGGAAAAACAACACATCTCATGATTGGAAAGACCCAACAGAAACTTCATTTCCTTAGAATCCTGCCAAAAAATCAGGTGGAACAATGGCTGATGACCTCTTTCTATCGGTCCACCATTTAAAGTGTCCTCACATATTGTATTACAGTATGGTATGCTGGTTTAACAGCTGCGGATAGGAAGCCACTACAGAGAGTGATCAATTCGGCACAAGAAACCATTGGTTGCCCTCTGACACCACTGGATGACATTGCCAGATCTGGCTGCTTTAGAAGAGTAAGGAAGATACTCAGAGATGATTCACACCCTGGTCAGTGTCTCTTTGCACTTCTACCATCAGGCAGAAGGCATCAAAGTATAGCCAGCCAAACGAACAGTTTTAAAGTTTCTATCCTTGGGCTGTGAGACTTTTAAATACAATCACTCAATGCACACAATCGTTTTTTTTTTTCATTTCTTTTTTCATTTCTGTTATAATTTTGCACCAGTGAGGTTAAAACCAATTTTGTTGTATTTAAGTACAATGACAATAAAGATTATATTTATACTTAATTCTAGCATACTATCTGATGGTACATCTCTACTGAGCAGATACTGTATATATGTGTGTGTGTTTGTGTGTGTGTGTGTGTGTGTGTGTCTGTCTATCTAATGAGAGAGAGAGGGGGGGGGAGAAGTTTTGATTGGAAGAAAGAAAGGCATTTAAATGTAGAATGAAAGCATTAGTGAAAAATTAGATTAGCATGACCAGAGGAAGAGATCAAAAATAGAAATCATCCAACACAAGATTAAGTATAATTAAGCCTTTTGTAGAGTTAAAATTTTGTATCTCCTCCATATTAACTTAAAGCTTGTGACCTTTGTTTTATTTGTTTTCTGGTCTCCTTACAGTAAGGGATATATTTTTTTATCCCTAGTTTCATAGTTTGCTTTAAGATTTTTAAAAAATTAAAATGCTAAACATTTATTGTCTCTTTTTTCAGTGTATACAATTTATTATAAGACATATTTACAGTGGATTGTAATGGTTGTTGCTGAATATAAAAGGTATCATTATGTCTTCCAGTTAATCATAGTTGTCCTGACAATCAATTTAAATGCCATAATAACCGATGCATCCCTAAGAGATGGCTTTGTGATGGAGCAAATGATTGTGGTAACAATGAAGATGAATCAAATAAGACTTGTGCAGGTAAAGAGAAACGATAAAACAAATCAAGCACATTTCCTGTTGATTATGTTTGATTTTAAGCCTCTGTTGAATATGCTCGGATCTAAAATTTTGCTTTGAAGTAAACCAAACCATTACTGGTTACCATCAATTTTAAATAAAACAAGCTTGTTTCTAACATGGGTGCTGTTTTACCTAATCTTGTTAATTGTCTCTACTTTACTAAGTAATTTCACCTGTCCATATGGACTAACTCATTATTGGTCTAGTAGAAGAATATGATTTTCTCCCCTCCACACTCCCTTCTGGAGTTTGACATTTACCAGGTATGTTGTGAGATACTGTTATGAGTCAGGCCATAGATTAATTGCCATGTAAGCTTTTGGTAATGAAAAGACCTAATAATTATTAACCGTATTCTCTCTGTATAACACATTTCAATCTTGGCACCTCTGCAGAATAACATGCACAAGAAAGAGATTTACAGGCTAGAGATGGTAGTTATGGAAACACTCAGTAGTTGGTTGGCCTCATGGGAAGGATGGAAATAAAAATCTATGGATTTAACAAAATGTAATTTTAAGAGAAAGATAGTTTGGTTAAGGACGAGGCTAGAAACTGGGAGAATGTGAGTTCTAGTCCTTCCTTAGGTACCAAGCTAGCTAGGTGACATTGGGCCAGTCACTATTACTGTAGCTCTTGGAAGAGGCAATGGCAAAACCATTTCTGAAAAACCTTGGCAAGAAAACTGCATGTAGTTTCCAAGAGTCAAAACTAATTTAAAGGCATTGTTATTATTATTTTAAAAGAGAGAAAATGGAATGGAAAGCTGAATGTTTCATTTGGCTTCATTTTTGGTTGCAATTAAGATTCTTATTTAGCTGAACTGTGACCATTACACATCTGTCAAGTCTTACCTAAGAGGTAAATTGAAGTGTATAAAATCAGGAGATTTTACTTCCTAATCAGTGCCAATGAGATGGCACTGCTCATTGTATCCTTATGAGGGGACACAGTGGCACAGTGGCTTAATGACACTAGAATTGCTGGCAAGAACTGGTGTGCATTCCAGCAATTTGAGTCCAGCTCTGTGAGACGAGGTCAGCTCCCATCTACCCAGCAGTTCGAAAGCATGCAATATTGCAAGTAGATAAATGGGTACCACTTCAGTGGAGAAAACCTAGCTGCATTCATGCGTGCAGGGAGGGGAAGCTGGCACTGGACCTGGCCAGACATAAGGAAATGCAACACAATACGAAGTGAAAATGGTGGAGGACCCAGAAGAGTCAGCAACTTGAGTGCCACTAGTCAAGTGGTATAAGCTACAGTAGTTTGCCCCCCGTAGTGCACCTAGAATAGGCATGCAAGGGCTGAACAGAATGAACTAGCAATTTAGGACTGCATTGTGTCTAGTATTTGTAAATTTCCCTAACATTGTATGACATATGGTAGATAGATAGATGATAGATAGATACAGTAGATAGATAGATAGATAGATAGATAGATAGATAGATAGATAGATAGATAGATAGATAGATAGATAGATAGATAGATAGA